TTTGGACCTTTTAAGCAGAACACTCATACCAAAATTTGAACATGTTACAAGTTTTTAGTAAGTACGGAATTATTAGTCGCTGTAGAGATAATAAAGTTCCAACGGAAATAGTAGAGCCATCTTGGTGGAAACATGATCTTGGAAAGTTGAATAATGCACTCAAGCAAAATTGGCACGAACTTGTTATCGAGCCCCAAGACATCGAAAATTTTGTTGTTGTCACGATAAGAGTTCCAGTAAAGAAATCTGATTACGAATGGAAATTGTATCGTATGTTGGCAGTATCATTTGCGTGGGAGGAAGAAACTTGTGTTTTTACAGAAGATGAAGTTCTAGTTGCAAGGCACGAAAAAGAAATAAGAATTATTACAGGCAATGCCTTGAAATCCTGTAATCCGAGCGACGATCTCTGTTTATTATCGAGATCGAGTTCGACTTCAGTAAAGGATACAATTTGTTTTTCAAAATTAGTAGGCGGCGCTTCAGTTTCAGAATTAGTTAAAGCATGTCAGCCCTATTGCTTCGAAAATAATAATACAGTAGTCAACCGAATAGAACCAGGAAAATTCATTATCACTCACGCACATGCAAACATGGTTTTAAAGTGTGATAATAGTTCTCAGCAAATTAAAGTTGATGAAAAATTAGATTTAGGGTCACTAGAAGTTGAAGTTCCCTGTTCTTGTTCACTTCAAACAGAAAATCTGACTCTGGTGTCTGACACATTTCCGTGTGCCGCCAATGGTGTCGAAAAGTTTAAAATAAGACATGTATTACCAGGTACATGGTCAAAATTCGAGTCTTTTAAGTTGAAACCGATGGCAACTCATACTTATCTAACATTTGAAAATTTCTCGAAATGTCTAGATGAAAATTGGAGAAAACAGTTACCGGATTTCAGAGGAAAGGTTTCTGGTAAAGATTTTCAATTGAAAGGAATTAAATTGGATAATTTCCTTCCCGACCACATTAGTTCATTTCTTGGAATAAATTTATTTAATTATATCGGTATTTGTGGAACTTTCATGATAATCATAATTGTCATAAGAAATCCGTATTTGATAGGAATAGGTATGATACCGCGTGTCCAAGCAATGGATTGGAGTATCGTGTTAAATGACATCAGTGGAATTAGTGTCATTATTGTATTAGTAAGTTTTATAATTTGTTTTTTTTATCGTTATGTAAGAGCAAAGAAAGATCGAAAGGAAATTGAAGAAGTTATTGTACAGGGTACTTCACTGGAACCACCGATAGTCAAAGAGACTTTGAATGAAAATATTCAGAGCAAGAGTAATGCAATAATTAGTGGACAGAATTCAGCAAATAGCAGGCCTAATTCAGCAAAAAAGTAAATCCTGAATGTTTTGTGTACTTTTTTATAGATGAGCAGAAGCTGATACCTATGAGTAATTTTAAGAGTCGACTCTGTTTTTATAATTTATGGTTACCAAAGGTTACCTACACTCTGTTTTTATAATTAATTGTTACCAAATGGTAGCTAGGTACTTTGTTTATAAATGACCGGTACTTACCTGTACTTTGTTGTTTTCTATTGGTCAACACCGATGTTTTTAATTTAGTTAGTACCTACAATCTGTTTTGATGTATTGGTACACTGATTATTTTAACATTTATACCATGTCTTGTGAATAAATAAGTGGGAAAAATACATTTCAATAATAACCTGGGAGGTTGTTGAAATTTTAGAAATAGGGAAATAATTTTGGTTGATCGATGAAACTGAATGTGTATTTTTTTTGTTCACAGTGCCAGTCGTCGCTTCCAAGGACTTCGGACGCTCAGGGCTGAAGCTGCAGTTGTTCGAAATGTCGGGACGACGTTTTCAAGAAGGGGGACTGTCGCGAAAATACATAGAACGCCCTGTATATCAGTCTCTACCCACTTCATGACCGAGCTATACGCCAGATTGTCAAGTCAGCAAGATGCACACAGCGTGCGGGGGACCGGGGGAAGTAACGACTCAAGCAACTGCATGTTATGTATTTGTACCGGCAGTTGTACTTAACATCGTGACATTGTTACAACTCACCAATAAACATCTAAATCGAACCTTTTGGCCTATAAATTCGCCACAAGTCCCCAAGCAGTGTCACAATATTCCCCAGATATAATGCATTACACCTTCACATATATAGGAATATTGAATAATGATTTTTCAATTGTACTAGATAACGACGTGTACTCGATTTGAGATTTTAAACGATTTGATAAGTGTTCCAACGATCAGTAAATACTTTATAATGTGCAGAGAATACCTTATGTCAGCAAGACTGTGAATAAGCCAGAAAATGTTAGTAGACCAGAGCTTATAGATATTGCCAGCTTCCAAATTACATCATGTTCTCTGCTATCTAGTTCTCTCTCAAACAGGTCTCTCCATGTAGTGGTCGACGGAGTTTCATCTGACTCTCTTACCATAAATGCTGGTGTTCCGCAAGGATCAATTCTAGCACCAACACTATTTCTAATCCATATCAACGATTTGTTGAAAGCAACTTCATGTCCAGTACACAGCTTCGCGGATGATAGTACCCTCCATACCGCCTTTTCTTCCAGGGCCCCAATATCAGCCAGGCAAATCAGAAACGAACGAGGGAGAAATGTTGACAACATAAATATGGACTTGGCAACAATTGTCGAATGGGGATCTTATAACTTGGTAGATTTCAATGCAAACAAAACACAAGCATGCCTCTTCTCTAGAAAAGCCGATCTCACTGTTCCAAAGATAAGCATGTCAGGACTAATCATACCTTTGAAAACATCCATTTCGATGCTTGGTATTACTATCAGCAATAACCTTTCTTAGGAAAATCATGCGAGATCAATTGCTGAAAGTGTATCCCAAAAACTTGGTTTTCTGTTTGGGGCCAGGAGCTATTTCACTTCCAGTCAGCTGCTTATGTTCTATTAGGCACAGATTTGTCCTGTCCTGGAATACTGTTCCAATATTTGGAGTGCAGCACCCAAACATACCCTGAAACTGTTGGATTCTGCCCAAAAAAGGGCAATTCGTCTCGTTGGTGATGCCTCGCTCACAAACTCACTCACTTCTCTGAAAGACCGTAGAAGAGTTGGCGATCTGGCTCTAGTTTAGTCATTTTCATGGACGATGCTCTTCTGAAATATCAACAAGTGTACCTCCCTTGGCAGTCCCCGCGAGATTAACCCCTCGAGTTGAGGCTTCGCACCCCTTCGTAGTCACTTTGGAGACCTACAAAACATCTCTTCCCAAATACTCGTTCATCCAACGAACAGCTAGGCTATAGAACACATTGCCAAGAGAGGTGTTCACCGAGGCATATGACCTCCACAAATTTAAGAAGAACACCAATTCCTACCTAATTTCCCTTGGTTCTCACGATGTTCTCTGATTATTACAGGATATTTCTTTTCGTGGGAACCAGAACATTAAAAAAAAAGGTCAATTTCATAATCATTTTAGGCTCCATCAGGTTCCAGATTCCATGGGCATACGAGTCTGAAGAGATGTCAGGTGACCTATATGTATGCTCAGTCCAGCCAGTACATTGAATTTATCACATCAAGTTGGAAATTATCTATATCTTCTTGAAATTCACATCAACTTTCCAGTGTTAACAGTAACAGTAAATCGGCTCTAATAGCCAGGTCAATCTTTCCATGAAGACTGATTCATCAAAATCCTATCAAATGCTCTTTCTCTTTCGAGTCCATGAAAAGCATTTGGCAAAATAGTTACATAACCTGCCAAATAGTGAAAATAAAAGTAAAAATTAGAATACAAGTAAAAGCAAGCCTGGCAGAACTATAACATAGGAAGTATAGAGTAACCTTGAGATGATTAAAGTTTACTAATTTATTTCCTCAAATATGGACCAAATTCCATAAAAATAATAATTTCAATAAATTATAAATGTTCTTGATAATTGGATATTCAACTCTAATTGGATTAGAATTAGTATGAAAGTTGTGGATGATCAAAAATGTGATTAGCGGTCATCCACATACGAGTTCATTTCATGGTGGCCAGATGCAGAATGGAATGATTTTCAATTTTTCTTTATCTTTTCTAGTTGACAATCGAAAATTCAAATGTCCATGTCATAAAGGTAAAAAAATCATAGTATCCAAATAGCCAACATCTATTCAACCGTTGCAATACGGATACCAGATCCGAATGAATAATCAATACAGATCAATAAGATGACGCTGACAGCATACTGCTTAGATATGTTACTGTCGCGATCCTGCTCGTTGAAGGCTGAACGCTGAACTACTGGTTGATGCTACATGAGACAATGGAACAAGAAAAAGAAGAATTAAAATTACAATTCTGAACCATAACAACTTGACTGACACCTGATTATTTCCAGAATAAACTGAAATAAAAACTTTCATCGAGTCGACACAATATAACATGCAAAACAATTCAAATTATGTGGAGAATATATATAGTATGATCTCCGACGAATTTCAGTGACTCGCAGCTCCATGAAATCTGTAACAGAGAATTTCAAAATATCCTACAAAAGGGAATGCAAATTCTCAAAATACATTCAGTGAAATCCACCGTTGAATCAATTACTCTAAAAAGGTCAGTTGAATATTTGGTACTATCAATATTTCGTAGATGGAGTAACATTCACTAAGGGCCCGGTACTTTCACTTCCATGTAAATTTCCACTATCTGACAGATAACTATTTGTCAGATATTGAATGAGTATTTGCAATCTGGTAGATAACTCATTTAGGTACTTTCAGGTGAAGTCATCCGACAGATAACTATTCAGTGAATTGTACCATAAGACACTCCCATACGTAAGAACTGTCAAGCAAAAAATAAAAAAAAGAATATAGCCATCTCAGAAATTCCAAGTGTTAGACAGAAATAGAACATAACCATAATTATTTCAGGTTAGGTTAATTTGTTGATGTTGTGTCTTGTGTGTGCGCGCCTGTGATATTTATCTAGTTGGTTTTTGAATAATCCGATCATGTCGATGGAAAAGAAAAAACGCTTTCGAGCCGGTAATTTCTCTACTGAAGAGGTTCGTTTGTTAATTCGTTTGGCATTTGAAGAAAATCACGTGTTGGAAAACAAACAAACGGACTCTGAAGTTCGGAAACTCAAGAGTGAAACGTGGGAAAGAATTGCAGAGGTTTTCAATGCATCTTCAGGTACTTTCACATCATTCCTATTATTTTTCATTATCGATGTAAGTACCGAATTATTTGAATAATTGGAGTGTTTTTCAGGACAAACATTCAGATCAGTTGACACTTTGAGACTGAAGTATGAATCTGTGAAAAAAGATCTCAAGAAAAAAGTGAACAAAAATGAGGCTGAGACAATGAAAACTGGGGGAGGAAACCCCAATTATATTGTTATTGATGGACCAGAGAAGGAATTACTGGAAGTTCTCAGTCTTTCAGTACATGGTTTGGCTTCAATTTCAGACTCTGACAGTATCCTTCCCCAAACAAGTAAAGTATCACAATGATAAATAGAAAATTAAAATCCATCCATTAACAAATACTTCCATTCATCATAATAATTTTGTTTTCTGTTCAGCAATGACTGGTGAAAAAGAGAAGGAGGTGTTTGAAGAAATACCAGTATCAGAAATAACTGATCAGGAAATTGAATTCTATGATAATGTGGAGCCTGTGGTGAATTGAATACTGTTTTAATCCAGTGAATTGAATTTAAATATTGTTTTGAACAAGCAGGTATAATCTAACACAATATATTCTCAGGTCATTGATATAGTTGAGATGAATAATTATCCTGGAACCTCAGAAGACGAGAATATTAATTCCAACACTGATGACGTCTACCAGAAAATGTGGATAAAGTTGAAATTGTTAATAGTGTTACAAAAAGAATAGCATCAAATCAATTGGGTAACTTTTCTCATTTCAGGAAAAACAACAAAAAAAATATGCCAATGGGACATGGAAAAGTTGGACACCTCGGACCCTGAAATCAAAAAAACACCCACTGTTAACCCCCAAAAAAAAGAGCGATGATAAACGAATTGATAATTTGCTACAGCTGAGAGAGGATTTAGTCAGGCAGCAAATATACAGCTGCAGTCAAGATGAAAAACGTGCTCAAGAAAAGCATGCAATGGAGATAAAACGGAATGAGATTGAGATGAAACAGGTCCAAGAAAAACACCAGAAAGAGATGAAACTTCTGGATATAAAACTAAATGATTATGTAATAAATGTAAATAATGTTTGTATATAATGTAAGTAATAATTCAAAATGTATATAATTGTATATATTAGTTGATAATACATTCCTAAAAATTTCAGAATACCTACTAATTATTGTTTCGATTATTCAGTAAGTTTTCAAAATAATTTATGAATATTCCATGAGTATCTTCATCTCCATTTATTTGTTCATTGTTCTCATTTTCTGGGAAGTCCTCGAAATCATCATGATCTATTCCAAAAATTTCTTCATTTTGTTCCATTGCTACATTATGTAAGATGGCACAAGCTACAATAATCATTTGAGCTAGTTCCAATTTACATCTTATTCCTAGTGATAATATAGGAAATCTTCTTTTCCATATTCCAAACACACGTTCGATAACATTTCTGGTTCTAATTTGTGCTTCATTGTACAAGGTCTGAGCTTCATTTTGGGGGTTATTCAATGGAGTAAGGACATATGGTTTGACTGCATAGCCTCGATCAGCAACTAAAACACCATTTTCCATTTTTCGGTTTTGTAGTCTAATTTTCAAAGCAGAATTCTCAAAGATGTTGCTATCATTTGCAGAGCCAGGCCAACGACTCACCAAATCGAACGACCTGGCAAGTCAAAGAAAAAAGGCCTTTACGACTTCAATATACTTCTGCATTGTCTCCTCCAGGAGACAGTATCTTTATATGTGTACAATCTATTGCTCCTATAACTCTCGGAAAATGAGATATATTATAGAAATCTCTTTTTCCTGATTCGTGCTCCTCTTCTGTTTGTGGGAGGTGAATGTATTGAGGGAATAGGTTACAAATAGCAATGATTCCTTGTTTAATTATTCGACCAGCAGTAGTTTTGTGAATTCCTAAGAAGTCTCCCAGGGATATATAAAAATCTTCAGTTGCCAGAAACCTCAGTGTGAGTAGTAGTTCATCAAGCACAGAGAGAGCACGATTTGAATTCCTGGAATTGAGAGAATTTATACATTAAAATATCATGTAGAGCTGAGTAGGTACTAGGTACTAGAAAATACTTAAGACATATTTTGTGGCTACTCACCATTCAGTTCGATTGTGAAAATCTCCTTCAATTTGTTGTAAAATTAATCTTACTGTAGCTTTCGAAAGACGACATCTATTGTACAATGCATGATCATCCCAGATAGTGAAGTGATCAGTTCTTGGTCTTATATCATATGCTCGATCGATATGTCCATCAATCAATTCAATATCAGGATCGTTAAGTATCTCGAAATCTTCGAATATCACCATTGTTAAATTGATAATAATAATGATAATATTGACTGCGCAACCTACTTTCTTGGGTTAGGTGTGTTTTATCTGCCAAATAACTCACTATTCGACGAGTTGAGCGACGAATGAGTTATCCAGCGGATAAGGGTGAATTATCTGACGGATAACACAATCCGTCGGTGAAGAGATACAATGTTCGCCTATCTTGTGGATAAAATTTATTCGGCAGAATAAATTGTGAGTTATCTGCTAGTGAAAGTACCGCTCCTAAGAGTAGATGTTACACAACCATAGACAGCATTATCGATCATCTGGACAGTTGATTCATTCTTGAAATGAACAATAGTTATTTATTATACAAGGGAAAAAAGTAGTAGATTTTAGCTCCAGGTTGTGTTGTCTCCCGACGCGTAGCGGAGGGAGACAAAAAACCGTGAGCTAAACTCTAATATTTTTCTCGTGTATAATACACTATTTTTTTCTGTGACAGAAGGAAGGACGAATAAATATTGGGAAGATATTACATTATTTCGAAATCTGAAAATTATCGACGTGAAATTTCAAGTTTTTAACAGTAGGGACACCTGCGTTTTATAGACATCTTTATCATTCTTTTGAAGTAATCAAATATCTGATGTCACTTCTGTCAGTTCAATTCTGTGATTCGATTTTAAAAAATTGCGAATTCAGTAGTTGTTTAGTAATATACGAAACCGCGAAGTCGAATGGAAGATAAGAGGACTTGCAGTTCTTTCTCGGAGACGGTATTATTGACTTATTTTTCGGAACTATAGCACAACAAAAGCCATTAACAGAGTATATATATGTGATATATATCCGGGAAAGAAGTACTCACTTTTTTCCCACGGGAAATAAGTAATTTATGAAAAGTGACATTTTATAACCTGCCAACAGAGATGAAATGCCAAACTTTTTTCCCGTCACAGAAAAAATTCACTTATTTCAGTATCATTATAAGGATAAGATATTGCCCAAGTCCTTATAAACATCGCGATGATTTCAAGTAGAAATCGGCCTAACTCCAAATTCGAAAACAAAGAGAAATTATTGTTCATTGAGATTCCAAAATATGAAATAATTACTAAGTACAGGCATAATCACTAATTTCAGATTCTTAAATCATAATTGGAAAGATTAGTACTCACTTCTCGTTTCGTGAAATTACTGCATACACGATCACGTTTTGTTTACTTACACATGCTTATGCCAATGTCTCGAGTGACTGGGCTTCAGCAAATTTCCATGGTAACTTGAATCACACCGGACATGAGTAAAATGCGTTTTACTCAATTGCAGCTCACTACTGCTAGATACATGAATGGGACCAAAACATGTTATGAGTTAAGTCATCTCTCAAAAGATGGCGTTAAAATGTCATTTTCAGACCAAAGTGAACTTGGGCCGTTTGCATCTCAAGCCGATGAAATACCGTATCGTCCGTAACTCCACAATGACTAACTTTTCAGGAGAGTAATTGAATTGTATTAAAAAAATACATATCATGGTTAAAAATGAAATGAAGTAGAACTTGCTAACAATTTATTCTGAAGCACATTGTGCATGTTGACATAAAAAATGCGAATCTAAATATTAATAAATGGAGTTAGGCCATTTTCCTTCGAAATGAACAATATTATTCTGGAGATACGAATATTTCAAAGGAATTAACAACGAATTCAGGAGAACGAAAAAACATATATTCATGGATATTTTTCAGAAATGTGGAAGGTTATCGTTACAACTATGGTAATCTGTATATTTCCTTTTTCTATCTTTATTTTGTCACTATACAAGGAAACCATGGACTCAAAGGGCAAACTTTCTGCTTTTGGGATCATTCTCACTGGTAGTTCAGTCCATTACAAATCTGAATGTCTCAATTTATAAAATACTCCATTTCTTGTATCCTCGAAAGGTTTTATGTCTGCCACCATAGGATCGCCTGTTTTTCTTCCTGGTCTGATTTAGAAAAAAAAAATTCAAAGACTGATTAATATTTCTGAAGAATGTATGATCCAAATATTCTGCAGTGTAAGGTGATTTGTCACAGGCAATCTTGAAAATATTCACATAGTCAGCAAGGACGTTTATGTTTTTTTCCCTGATTTTTCGTTATATTGTTGAATCCATGCTATCAGCTTCCATTTGGGTATGACCTTCATAAAGAGGGTCTTTCAAATTGTACCTCATTCGTTCCGACATTATTTAAAGCAGATATTAACATGAATTCGATCGAAATGAAACACGAAAATAAAGAAAAACACTTTTATCAAATCAAAATAACAGTTAAGTCATTACAAGAACTAATGAGAACATCCTTTGGAAAAACTATTATATAGAAATTTCAAATCTGGTGAACAAATTCATTGCAATTCGTGAGCAAATGTCACAAATGTAATGCTTCTTGGTTAATACATTAGCACAAGATTCATGTACCCAATGTCGACACTTTTCACACTGACTCATGTCTTACATGTATCTACGATACATTCATCACAAATTTGGCAATACCATTCTCGACTATTCACTTTTTTGGTACAGCCTTTGAAGTGCCAGGAATCTGAATGTCAGAAACTATCTCTCGTTCCACTACACGCTTTTCCTTTGCACCTATGGAAGTTTGCTTCGATTCTAATTCTTCTTTATATGATTTTATAGTTATGGTTTCTGCTTCTTGAGCTCCTTTGCTTCTCCTTTGGGTTTGAGCTGCTCTCGTGCTCTTTGGGAAGGGCAATATTTCCTCGATCGAATCATTAGCTACAGAAGATTTCGATTTTGTTTTGTCAGAGGAATCAGAATCTTCTGCAGAATTCGCTTCGTCGTTCTCCTTTTCGCTGTTCACTGGAGAATTCGAAGATGTATTTCTTGAATTTTGATTCTGTTCATCAATGTCACGAAGTGCATCAGAGGCAGCGAAATCAACGGTGGAAATAACATGTATATTCACTGGCCATATTTTGCATGAATATAATGACTCCATTGTCACGAGCCATTTCTATAGCAGCGAGGTTCTTCGAGTGTGTGGTATGACCATCTAGAACTAATTATACCTTATTTCGTTTTGTAGGTTTGACTGCATTGATCAAGTGCTCTATCCACTTAACAAACAAGTCGGAGTTTATGTTACCGCTGTCAGATATTTTTACTAAGCAGCGTACACACAACCATGGTTGTGTTCACTCCCCTTTCCCCGCTGGCTAAAGTTCCAACTTGGTGTTTGCCTCTCAGTGCCAAAATTTTCTTAGTCTTCTCCTGAAATGTTGAGAAGCCTGACTCATCAACATTGAATATATTTGGTGCATAAAATTATAATACGACTTCTTTCCAGCCATACATTTATCCTTGTTGAATGTATACTCAATGTTGTTTCTCTCCGCAAACTGATATGCAATTTTACAAATGTCTTTGATGGTCACCCCATGAAACATTTGTTTCAATGTCAATATATGATTCTCCAATTGTTTTACTTGTTCAGTGTTGAAAAGACTGCACCGATTCAAAACTTTACTTCCTTCGTTGGCTCTACTGTTGGTTGAATTCAGATGTCTCTGGAATGTTGGTTTTCGGACTTTCGTACATTCTGCGCATATCATTGAAGCCATATCTACCGGTTTCGTATTCCCTTATAGCTTCTTTCATGTTATCTGCAGACCACTGATCATCGTTTATTTTGAAGGCTCATTCTGAAATAGAAGGTTTCCTTAATTGTACCGGTACAATTTATGCGAGCAATAGATAGTACGATTTGAGACACTGGTAGTGTATTCACTTCAAATGATGGTTGGTGAAGGAAGATCGAGGTTATGTTCGAACTGTTCCATATAAATGTGTATTATTATATGCAGTTTGAGAATATCAAGTAACCAGACTATATTCTATATTCAGATACTTTCTGACTATCTTAAAAAAACTTTGAAAAACTTACTTGTGCATTCGAAAAATCAGTCACCAACGCATTCCATCAACGAACTCGCACGCACATCCCGCAATTTTTGTTTACTACTTTCATAGCGTTAGATCAATCTCACAAAATACACAGATGGCGCTAGTAGTATGCTGTTGATAAAGTACAGCGACGGTACAATTTGAGAGCCGGTACAATATCGGTGACCTTACCTCAAAAAAATCAAATTTTAGTTTCGAATTCTCAAAAAAATACCTATTATATGTTATATGTTGGTACTGCAGCAATACAACGCTCAGTAAAATCAAACATCAAGAAACCTTCATTCATGGAAATTTATGAAGCAATTTCGTCCTACAAAACAACATAATGATATCTCAAATGCTGTATATTATACAAACGTTAACTTCTTGCATCCCGGAAATCTACAGAAAGAGCGACATGTTTGTTTTTCCTTTATGAATTTGGGTAAATGTGAAGCATTCTGCTTCTGAACATCTCTATCGGGCATTCTATGAACACTCCGTTGTTTCTTCTTCTTGGGTTCTTCTGATTCCTCATCTAAAGCCTCGTTTTCTTCGACGCTACTCATCGGGTCATCAGTTTCAGAGGAATTAATGAGAAATAGTCCTCGGTCTCTTTTTTCGATAATTTTGCCATAGCTGCTTCTTGTCGTTGGCATCTTGTCGATACTCGAGCAGTAAAGTAGCTTCAAGAGATCCCTGACATTTTGACCACTTTTCCCATGTAAATCTCCATGAGAAGTGTTAAGCTCAATAATAGCCAAAATGGTCGTCGGCCTCGAAGTCGACGAGCGGTCTAACCACAAGCCGAGCATCAATCAACCGCAAACTTAGATAAACAACAAGATGAAAAAAAAACATATACCGGGCAATGAAAAATTCCTGAGTCAAATGAAAACAGAGTGAGCCAAAAAACCTGAGTCAAAGGAAAGAGTTGAAAAAAATATACAGAGCGATTAGAAAAAAACTGAGACAAATGAAAAACATATACAGGGTGAGCCATATATATAGAGGAAAGGATTAGACGACCATCTATGTTAAGGATGAAACTGTGAGATTTTCTTTTATGCACTCAAAGAAAAACAAAGTGTACTCTTGTTCTTATTCAAGCTCTCGAGTCTTATTGGCTCTTTATCAGGAACTCTATAAAACATTAAGATTGATATGGAAATCAAATCGTTATTATCGATTATTGATCATTGTGATCAATGATGCTAGTTCTCTAAAAAAGTAATTCGTGAATTAGGTTCCTTTAACCACTATTAATAAATAATTGAGAAGGTTTTTCGAATTGTCATTGCGGACTGTGCTGTGACTGGTCTTTTCAACTCTGTTCTTCATTCCTAGAACCAAGTCCATTTTCTGTTCCATTTTGATGGTAAGATTCATAATGGAGGAATCCCCCAGAGGCACCTGGTTTCGTATACCAACTGGTAATCAATTTATTGTCCTGCCTTCTTATGACCTTTGAGTCTAAAAAGGGGACACTGCAACCTAAGTATCCTTCTTCAACAGTAAATTGTTGGAATTCATTGTAAGAGTTAAAAACGAGTAACAGTTCTTCAACACTATCTTGTGGGATACTGAGAATTATTTCACACATATCACATAATGGATTATGGTGCAGTGAGAATTCTAGCAACTGAATCTAACAGAACTAAAAGAACTTTTATGGAAATGGCCCACATATCCCAGGTCTCTAATGGTATAAACAAACTCACAGATATCGATCATATGAGTGGAATTCATTCTTACCTACTTTCAATTGATAACGCGTAATAGACCATTACATAACCAAAATAGTTCCATCCTTGTCGAAAATATAGTTTCTCAATGTTGACGTTTCTCAACAAATTCTCAACCTTAGCGGACACTATACCTATGGACAGATCTTTTTCCAGATTTTTTCCAGATTCTTTCCAGATTTTTTCTTACATTTTTTTCTAGATCATTCCAGATTCTCTTCAGATTTTTCCGGTTTTCTTTCAGATTTCTCCAGATTCTGTCCAGATTTTTGCAGATTTTTGTATGTTTTCTTTCCAGATCTTCTTCCAGATTCTTTCCAGATCTTTTTACAGATCTTTTTCCAGATTTTTTCCAGATATTTTTCCAGGTTCTTCCCAGATATTTTTCTAGGTTCTTTCCAGTTTTTTTCCAGATCAGTTACTTCCCTATCCGCACCTATTAGAATCTATTCAACCCCTGTTCACACATAATATCCCCAATTCAACTCATATTCGCACATTCAACCCTTATCCATGCCTATTAGTACCTACTTCTCCTATTCGCACCTACCACCCCCTATTCGCACCTTCCCTGTTCAACCCCTATTCACACCTACTAGCACTTGCCCCCAATGTGCACCTACTACTTCCTATTCGAACATACCACTTTCTATTCGCACCTACTAACACCTATTCTACCCCTATTCGTACCAACTAGTACTTCCTACTATCCACATTCATTCCATATTCGTACACACCACATAATTTCTCCCGATTTTCCTCACATATTTCCAAGATTTCTTTCAGAATTCGTTTTCCAGATAGTTTCCAGATATCTTCTAACGGGACAAGAGAAAACTAGGGGCTTTGGGAGGGTTAAAATAGGTGACCAGGCGTTTTTCAACCTAATCGTTTCAATTATCATATTTTCCTATTTTATTACAGTTACTCCTGCGACAAATTAACGGGATAGGAGGAAAATAGGTAAATAGGCGTTTGTTCAATTATATTTCTGTTCTAATTTTCCAATTTTTCGTTACATTTACAGTAATTTCCATATTTCCAATTTTATGACATCTTCTCCAGTGACAAACTAAGGGAACAGTAGTAAAATAGGGGCTTTTGGGTGGGTTAAAATAGTAAAAAAGTGTTTTCAACTTTATCGTTTCTCCAACGACAAACTCAAGGGGTAGGAGGGAATTAGGGGCTTTGGGTGGGTAAACAAAGCTGAATAGGTGTATTTTGAGGTTCAGGTTCGATAGATCATTGAGCGTTATCCAGAGTGGACCACGAGAAGGCGATCTATCTTTACACTCAAATGTGCTGTGAGAGAACCCGTTCGGTCGACATTATCAATTTATAAATCGGCCAAAAGAATCCTCTCGCAGCGGTTTTGTAATAATAATAGAAAGAATAATGTAAATATTGCGTAGCGTCATTTCTTCGATTTGTTGTTAAGCAGTGATAACAGCTTTGATACGCTTCCACTTGATGCATAATTTTTGGCCAGATTGTTCTCCAAAATGATGAGTAGTTGTCTTCTGATACCAAGAGGTCGACAATTTTGTAGTTCTGAAACAGTTTCTACAGCTTCGTTACATATTTTCAGAGTTCCTCGGATTCTATTGATATTTTCGAGAGCATATGACACAATTACTGCATCCTGGGATTAGTCGAATTTCATTCGTTCACGGGTGGTGCTCTCGGTAGTTGATGGTCCGGCGGCTTCTGGATTGTCTGATGATGTGCTAACGCAGCCAATGAAGTTTTGGGATGTCGATGGTGTTTGTCCGATCTGTCGCTGTGATCCAACCTCACTCGATACCATTCATGTATCAATCTCAAGAATTTGGTCATGATGAATGCGGGGAAATATTTTACATGTTCGTAAATATAATTTCTAAGTTTTTCAGTTCCATAATGAGAATGGGATTCCGTTGCCACAAAAAAAACAGTGCAACTGCATAATTTGTTGGTGTTTCTATCGCAGTAATGTCTTGCCTGATATCTTCCACAGATGGGCAGACTCTCTCTTTTCCCTTTTCATCAAACTGTTCACGTGGATATGATCGACATCTTTGGTCCCTAAATGCGACCATGTATTTTTTCAGGGCCATAACTATCGAGCTTTCGAAAATGTTTATTTTCCTTATCAAAACTTTCTAGAACATCGAACAATAATGTTGATAT